AAAAAAAAAAAAAAAAAAAGAAAAAGAAAAGAAAGAAACCAACTCACCAGAGCTTTGAGATCAGAGAGCTTGAAGTCAGCCTGTGAACTGGGAAACTTCCTGTTCTCCCCGTTTGCGAGTAGCTCATTAACTCAGAGTTGCCGCTTCTGTTTTGTTTTTGTGTTTTGAGACAAGTCTTACCATGCAGTTCTGGTTGGCCAGGAACTCACTACGTAGACCAGGATAAGATCCATCTGCCTCAGCCTCCGGTGCTGAGATTAAAGATGTGTGCCATTACACTGGGCTAGTTTTATTTTGTTTGTTTATTTGTTGTTTGTTTATTTATTTGTTGTTATTGTTTTTTTGGGGGGGAGTTTAAATATATATACCATGGAAAGCTGGTCCTGAAATGGATGCCCATAGTGTTGTACTGATTTTTAAAGATGACAATCTGCTGCCTAAGGAGCTTGTGATAGTTAATCTAAGACTACCCGTTACTTGCTTTTCTGGTATGAAAACCTAGAAGGTTCATGTTGTGCTGAGCCCTGGACCACTACATAAACTGCTTCAGACAACGGGTCCTGGTACCAACCAGTCCCAGAGCACAGGGCCATTTATTTGTCTAGGGAATTATGGTGGGTGAGGGTAATGGGTCTTTTGGAGGTCTTCTAGAACACTTCCTAAAGCACAAAGAAGCAGCATGCAAGGGGTGGGAGGAGACAAGTCTCACATTCCTCCCCAAGTCAACACTTCTCTCCACATGCTCACCACATTGCATCACTGTGTTCTTCAGCCTAGGGACTGGCAGGGCTCGGGAAAGCCCTTGCTCATCCCTGTTGATTTCGGCTCAGGAAGGCCCAGGATCACATTTAAAAGAGAAGTAGGGGATTCCTCATTGTGTGGGGGAGTCCCCAGTGGAATCCTCTTGACTGAGGCTACTAGTCTGCCAGGAGAGTGGGAAGTAGGGATTCCACTGCTCAGGGCATGAAAACAAATTTCTCCCATGCCTCCGATCAGGACATTCTGCCAAAAATAACCTTGTGGCTGTTGTTCTTGGCCGAAACAGTGGGCATTTCTTTTTCCTATTTTCTTTGTTAGTAGGGAATACACCACATCGTAGGAAGGGTCCCAACTATTTCTGACCTCAGGCTTCTAATTAAAATTTCCAGAGACAGCATCTGTATCTGGCTTTTTGGTGCATTCTTTGAGATATACTCAATGTGCACAAAAATGTTTCTGGTTTTTAACAGACATGAATGTTCTTTACATTGGTTCTAAGTCCCTTGGTATTTTCACTCAATAGATCTTTGACTTTGCTCCATTTTGAGTTTCTCCGTCTTTCTGGCTACCAAGTCCTGTGCGTTTTTATCTCCAAGCTACTTCTCCTTACTGTTTTACTTCTTAGTCTCATGTGCTGACTGGGTTCATGTTAGGTTTTTAAAGCTGTTGATGGGAAGGGAAAGATCCAAGGCTTAC